TCATCTAAGAAAACTGCAGCGTGTTCAGAATTCAGCTGCGAGACTTATTAGTAATACATCACGCTATGAACATATAACACCTGTTCTCATCGAGCTTCATTGGCTACCGGTGCGTTACCGCATTACTTATAAAATAGCAGTTATGACCTTTAAGGCTATACATGATTTAAGTCCTTGTTATATCAAGGAACTTGTAAGAACAAAGACGAAAACTAGGTATCAATTAAGATCAGACAGCAGTATCACCTTGCTAGATCCAAGTGTAAAATTTAAAAAAACATTAGGAGATAGATCCTACACAGCAGCAGCACCTAAGGTATGGAATAGCCTACCTGATTATATTAGAAATAATAGTATTTTTTCTAGTTTTAAGTCAGCGCTTAAAACTTTTTTTATTTAAGAAGGCTTATGACTTACAATTATAATTCATAATTACCTATTTAATTTTTTTCACTTTTATAACTTTTATAATTCGATATTATATTATTTTTATATATATGTTAAATATTTGTAGATAGTTTATAATTTTATTATTTGTAATTAGATATGTAATGCGCATTTGATCATATATGTATGTAAAATAGCGCAATATAAATATTAAATATTATTATTATTATTGTGTTCATTCCTGTAAGTATGATAGAGCTAATATATAATATATATATCCCAATGAAAGATTAATTGCCTAATGTGGCTAAAAATAATATAGTTTTCTGGGACCATTTCATTTTGTCTCTACAGATTTGTATATAGCCAATAACTTGAGAGATTTGATTGTTACATTATAAATAATGTATAATATTGAGTAAAGGTTTTTAAACCTTTAAAAGGTGGATCACTACAGTTGTTTTTTGACATACCTATATTTCATTTATCTATAGCCTGAAGTTATACCTATGAACTTCATTTTTGGACCAGTTATGACAATAAGATTAAAGTTTGCAATTACAACTGCTTCAGCTTGATGGACGTTTCCATGGCAACGTTAGTGTTTTTTTGTGTGGAATATCTCCTAAAAGTGACCTCAGCTAAACGAGAAGTGAATGAAATCATCAATGTCAAAGTACTACTGAGCAATTTAAGCTATTTGAAAGAAAAGCCATCTGTTTGATTCTGAATAATAAAAAAGTGTTAAAAAACTGTGTTTTTTTGGCAGATTTCTTGAAATGAAAAGATTAATTTTATTTAAAATATAGCTGGTATTGCTCAGTAGTTTGCTGAAGTTAATGATCAATTTCATTCATTGCTTGTTTAGCTGAGGTCAGTTTTTGGATATATTTCGAAAAACCGTTGAAACCCTTAAAATTTGTAACCTTGCCATGGAAACGTTGATAAAGCTGAAAATGTTGTCATTTCAAACTCGTATCTTATTTCTATATCTGGTCTAAAAAGCAAGTTCAAGTTCAAACAAGGTATAACTGAAGGCTATAAATAAATTAAATAAAATTTGGGGGTTAGGCAAAAATAAAAGTGGAGTGATCCACCTTAAGTTTGAATGTTATTATGCATGGTGTAACAATCAAATACCTGCATATAGTGTTGTATTATGTAAATTTTAGTGACGTAAGAGTCACGTGATTGCCAGTAAAATCACTTGTCAAACCGCACGTTGGTCTGTGTGTTAACTTCCACTTCAAATCAACTTTTAATCCTAAAATACTTAATATAACATGGTGTCAGAAGTTTAAACTACAGATAAACAA